GATATGAACTAAAAAACAATAAAAACTAGCACCGCAGCTTCAGAAATAAAAAGCCTTTCATTAGGTACTACATCATAAACTTCCATGGTCTAAGAAGTTAAACAAAAGCAACAACGTTAATCCCAAGCTGTGAAACTACTAATTCATGTCTGTAGACAAACTAGGCAAGGTGAAGTCATATCCATGTCAACAACATATACCAACAAAGTAAAAGTCAGGAAATCAACTTTATAAGTCTGCAACACATCAAAATCCTGATGAGGGGATCTTGACTTTCTTGACAGCTCCTAATCATCATCTTCTTCCTCCTGAATAAAATTGAACAAAGACATTTATCAAACACAATTTGCAAACTCTCATTCATTAAAATGAAAGCTCTATTTACAAGATTCACCTCTCCACTGGCATCATCCTCATCATGAACCTCCGACTTTGATTTGTCAGATTCATCATCATCGCCACCTCCAGCCTGTTTTACAATAGGACAAAGCAATTTGAGCAAGTTATAAACATATATAATATACCTAAACTACTGACATATAACACCCAACAATAAATAACTAGGTACCAATTTTTTGTTGTAGGCTTCCATCTTCCTTTCATATTCTTCCTTCTTCTTCTCAGCCTTTGCCACAAAGGGAGCTTTCTCCTGATAATTTACATTTACACATTTTCAACAGATGATCTGAGTGAATAAGTTCAATAGAGGGAAATAGTTGAGGGACATCTGAATATAGCTTACCTCATCACTCATAGATTTCCACTTCTCACCAGCAGCTTTACCAACCTATATTTTTGGGACCATTAACATTATCAAATACTACAAAACATAGGAGATTTATTCAAGAGTACAAATATGAAAAGAAAGGGAAACCCACAGCAGAAACAGATTTGTTGGTAGGGTGTTTTTCCTTGTATTGCTGCCTAAATCCTTCCCTGAAACATGAATATGACCAAAGCACGTATCAGAACACAAATGAATTACAGCACTTAGTCTTGACCAAGTAATAATAAAAAGGTACCAAAAATGGATTTGCAAACAAATGTAGAGTCGTGCAATTGACATACAAGAAAACAAAGAAAGCACTTGGAGCCCTCTTTGGCTTGTTTGGATCCTTTGCTGCTTTCTTCTCTTTCTTTGTTTGTTTCTTCACAGCCAACCTAATATTACAAGTATCCACACAAACAAGAGCAATAAGAAGTTGATTGAGAATACAGGAAACAAGTTGAATGAAAACCAACAAGGGGGAAAAAACAGCACAGAAAAAAGGTTACTCAGTTCTTAAAAAACAATCAAGCAATAGGTTAATTTTGGAATTTGGACCACAGCAGTTATTCTTATTTGTCACTGCAAATATAAACATGTGAGAAAACACATAGACAAAGTACAGACCTGGAAGGAGCTAAGCATGACAATCATAAACAAAAAAACCAATAATAGTGTTTAGTACATCAACTTCTGATGACACACGCATTACAACAAACAAATATCAAACAGTCAACACAAAAAACAGTGAGTTCAAAACAACTGCCTCTAAAACCATTTGTCACAGGAGATACCAAAAGCCATAAACCTATATCTTAGCTCATAGAAACTTGTATCTTGAACAACTCAACTGCAATGGATGACAAAATCTCAGATCCATCGTAAAAATGAAAAAACCAAGCTAGTTCTAACAAAAAATAGTAACAAATAAGACAAAATTATAAAACACAAAGATCTTCTAAGGCATCTAAACATGAAGATGAGCTATTCTGCACATTAGTTTCACCGAATAAACTAAAAATCATGACAAACGAGTTCACAACAAAAGCTAGAAACGGAAGAAATTCAACACCACAAAATACATATCAGAAAACTCCATCGAGACCAATATTTTCCAGCAATGGATTCGTAATTAGAAAGCAAAAGATCACAACAGCAAACGGCGCACACACTCAGAGAGAAATGAACTACAAAATAACAACAAAAAAAGTCTCACTCTAAACGAGAACACCACTGACCTGCTGTCGGCTTTCTTCGAATCAGCCTTCGAATTTCCTCCTTTCATGGCCAAACACTTCAAAAAAGAACATAAACAGAAAAAGGCAAATCAGATTCTCAAAAACATCGATTCAAAAAGGAAATACGGCGAATCGAAAAGGAACAAAATGAAACCTCACCTCAAACGGCGACGAGCAGCACTGGGTTAGGGTTAGGGTTTTAACTTTCCTTTTTGAAATCGAATTTGATTGAGTAAAGCAGGGAGTGAAAAGCAATGGCACCCGTAATACTTGGCGTGACTACGTATTTATAAAGAGGAGTTGAAAACAAACAAAATTGAAAACGGGAGCCTTCATTTCACGATTCAATTAAAATGGAAGCGGGCTTTTGGGGGCTTTTGGGCGGGATCTGAAAATCATTTTGCCACGTCGTCGTTGTATTATTTTTTTTTTTTATAATGACATTGTAGATATTTTCGTTGAATTAAAGTTGAGTTTGGATTGAATTTTTTCAAACAAGTATATAAACAAGCAAGCTCTTAGTAATCGAGCTCGATGTCGGCTCGTTATTAAAATTATCGAGCTTAGTTATAATTAATTATGTAAATATTCATATTTTTAAGCCTTAACAAGCATAAAGGAGTCCAACTCATTACCTGAAGAAGCATTCAACAAGCTCGTAATTAAACGAGTCAAGCCGAACCCAAAACTTAGGGCATGGTTAGATATAGGTATATTTGAGTTTATTTTTTAATTTTTTCTATTAATCAGAGTTAATTTTAAAAATGTTGGTTGGGTTGTGTTTAAGTTAAATTTTTAGTTTGTATAACAATAATATTTGAAATAAAATAATTAATATTGTTTTGACGTAAAAGTAGAATGAAAAGTAATTTGAAAGTCTATGAGTAGACAATCAAAATTGATTTGATATGTATAGATTATTAATTAATATCATTTAATTATATTGATAATATTAAAAATACTAATAATTGAATTTGACTTGACTTGAAATTGATTTTTTTATTTTTTATTTTGGATTTACTTATAAACAAGTATACACTTAATAAGTCGAGTCTTATGGCCGATTGGATATAGTTTCAATAGTAAAAAAAAATCAATCAAAACTCAAATTTGACTCAACTTTAACCTCGACTACACTATTTTCAATATTATCAATATAATTAAATAATATCAACCAATCATTCTTACACATCACATCAACTTTAATTCACTATTCATTCACTCACATAATTTTAACTAACTATCACTTCCAATCATTTTTCTCCTATTTTACATCAAATCAACTTTAATTATCATTTTTCTTCTACTTTACATCAAATCAACTTTAATTATCAACTTTAATTATCAACTTTAAATATCATTTTAATATATCCACTAACAACTAGACATACCATCTTTTTTTCAAAATTAATAATAGTTAAAAAACAAATCAAATAAAAACTAGTTGAACCCATAAACGATCACCTCTTAGCACTTCGCTGAACAACTATTTAAATTGGACAAAAACTGTGGATAAATGATTTGCAATGACATGAAATAAAATAGCACGACTTCGATTCCGAAACATGAGCATTGATAGAAAACACAATGAAAATCATAGGACAACATTTCTAAGCTAATCAGATTGTGTATTGCATTGAATTGCAGAAAAGGAAAACTTTCAACATCGTCTCTGTTACAATGCTAGTACACATTTATATAAACTGAAAAATAAAACTGATCATGAAAACCAACTAAGACTACCACTAACTCATAACCATCCTACTAACTTAAACTGCATGTGCATGTTGTACGTGGGCTACATATCATGTGCCCTTAGCATGCATGTGATCAACTCTAACAGGCTCCCTCAATCCGAACGAGCTAAGACTGAAAATTCCAAGAGAATGTCTTAGCTTAGAGAAGGATTGATGACTTAAGGGCTTAGTCAAGATATCAACTAGTTGGTCTGAAGATGGAACATGTTGCACAGCTAGGAAGCCTTTACTTATTTTGTCTCTGATGAAATGAACATCAAGCTCAATATGCTTAGTACGAGCATGTAAGATAGGATTTGAAGCAAGGGCATTAGCTCCCAAATTATTAACCCAAACAATTGGAGTTTGGTTGATGTGAATACCTATCTCATGTAAAAGTGAGTGAATCCAGCTGATTTCAGCACTTGCGTGAGCCAAACTCCTATACTCTGCTTCAGTACAGGATCTAGAAATGGCAGCTTGCTTCTAAGAAGACCAAATGATGAGATTACCTCCTAGAAAGATGCATGAACTAGTCACAGATTTCCTGTCATCAACATCACAAGCCCAATATGAGTCAGAGAAACCAGTCATCTTTAAATCCTTTGCTTCAACCAGATTTAAGCCATAATTGGAAGTTCCTCTTAAATGTCTCAATATTCTTTTAACAGCTCTCCAATGATCTTCATGAGGAGAAGCCATAAATTGGCTAACTTTATTTACAGCAAAGGCAATGTCTGGCCTTGTTATAGTTAAATATTGTAAGCCCCCTACAATACTCCTATAAGAAGTAGCATCATATAAGGATCCTTCTGATTGCTTGGATAATCTGGAAGATGATATCATAGGAGTCCCACAGCTTTTAACATTCTCCATTCCAGCTCTTTTCAAAAGATCATTGATGTACTTTTGCTTAGACAAAAGAAGTCCTGTAGGAGTTTGGTGAACTTCAATGCCAAGAAAATGATGTAGAACACCAAGATCTTTGATAGGAAAAGCTTTAGCCAAATTCTGAATGACTGAAGCTATAGTGGCATCATTATTCCCAGTAATAAGAATATCATCAACATAGATGAGTAAAAAGACTTGGGTATGTTGATCAGTTATGAAGAAAAGTGAAGGATCTGCAATGGAGTTTTTTAAACCAAGACTCTGAACCACTGTCTTAACTTTACTGAACCATGCTCGTGCTGCCTGTTTGAGACCATAGATAGCCTTATATAACTTACATACTAAGGGTCTATCATTCTAAGATTTAATTTCAAAGCCAGGTGGTTGTTTCATATAAACCTACTATAGTGATCAATAAAAGTCACATAATAGTAGTAGTCATTTCTAGATTTTATTGGTGAAGGCCCCCATAGATCAGAATGCACACGTTCTAAAGAATTTTCACACAAAGAATCTGAGAGATTATAAGGTAATCTATGAGCCTTTGCAAGAAGACAAGAAAAACATATTTCATTCATAGTCTTTTGATCAAAAGATATATTACAATCCTCAAGTGCTCTTACTACAACATAATAGGCTGAATGACCAAGCCTTTTATGCCAAAGATTAAGATCACACTTTTTAGAATGTAAAGCTACATTGACATTAGGACTAAATAGAAATTTGTTCTTTGAACTGTGATTGAAAGCTTCTTGTTTTCCTTTTTGGGTCGAAAGGTTGAACTGATAGAGACCTTCCTTAAGGATTCCCTTGAGCAGAACTTGATGAGTATGTTGATCCTTGACAAAACAAGAATCAGAATGAAACTCAAAATACACTTTATTATCATGTGCAAATTCAGAAACACTGAGTAAGTTTTTGGTAATAGATGGAACATGAAGAAGTTTATTAAGAATAAAGGTTTTGGAACAGAATGGTGATTTTAATTGAGCTTTGCCAATATGAGAAATATACTACCATTACCCATATGTAATCTATTACTTCCTTAATACTCAGAAACACTGGTGAGGTTGTTCAAGTCATTTGACACATGGTTTGTAGCTCCTGAGTCTGGGTACCAGAGAGTTTCCATGTTATTTTCAGGCTGAAAACTTGAGGATGAAGGAAACTGCGCCATGTGCAAGGTAGGATTTCTTGAAAAATTTCCTTGAAAACCAGTAGAGGTTGGTTGTTGACTGTGAGAGGGAGATCCACTTTGTTGTTGACTTTGAGGAGTGAAATTTGAGTCAAATCTATGCCAACATTTATCAGTTGTGTGTCCAGCTATCCAACACACTTGACATACAGGTTTTGGTCTTTGAAATGACCACCTCTTCTTCTATAACCACCTCTAAATCTTCCTCCTCTGCCTCTATTTGAATATTCTCTCCCTCTTGTAGATCCTTGATTGTTATTCAAATTTCCTCTTTGTTGATTATGAATCAGATTGAGGGATGGTTGAGATCCATCTGCATTGACATTTCCAGGTACAACATTGTTAATGATTCCATTTGCTTCTAACCTGGATTTATAACTCAATAACAATGCTTGAACATCCACCACAGTCCAAGTGTCCATTCTTGATGTCACTGTTATCATAACAGGATCATATTCACTCCCTAAGGCAGAAATAATATGGAGGATTTGATCTTTTTCAGACACCTTGGCTCCTACAGAAGCTAGCATATCAAAACAACTCTTCATTTTATTGAGAAAATCTCTCATGTTTAAACTGCCTTTCTTCATTGTATGCAGTTGAAGTTTATACTGCATTTGCTTTGCCAATGATTGACTTGTGAAGTTTGTTGATAATGCATCCCAGATCTCCTTTGAGGTTTGCAAATCAACCATTTGCACTAAGAGACTTTCAGAGAGAGATGAGAGAAACCATGATGCTAGAATTTGATCTTGCCTTTGATAAGAGATGTATTCTGGACTGAGGTTGAGAGACCCTTCTTCTTCAATGAACTTGTGTGGTTTTTGTCCTCCAATGATAAAATGCTCAAGACCATAACCTCTGATTGCAATGAGAGCTTGTTGTTTCCAGATTAGATAATTGCTCTCATCAAGTTTGGTAGTTAGAAGTTGTTTTGATGGTATATGACTTGCAATGGAGTAATAGAAGATGGGGTAGGTTGGGATGAATTTGTTACGACTTCTGACATGATGGATCAACTTTAATGACAAAAAGAAGAAAAGAAAGAAATATGAATCAGAAACAGAATCGACCTGCTCTGATACCATGATAGAAAACACAATGAAAATCATAGGCCAACATTTCTAAGCTAATCAGATTGTGTATTGCATTGAATTGCATAAAAGGAAAACTTTCAACATAGTCTCTGTTACAATGCTAGTACACATTTATATAAACTGAAAAATAAAACTGATCATGAAAACCAACTAAGACTACCACTAACTCATAACCAACCTACTAACTAAACTGCATATGCATGTTGTACGTGGGCTGCATATCATGTGCCCTTAGTGATCAACTCTAACAAGCATACATTGATAAAAAACAAAAAAATAAAAATAAAAATCCGGTGGATTTAAGCTGTGCCGTTTGGCATCCTCGAGCTCATCGACAAAAGTCACAAAACAGAACAAGAACACAAAAACAAAAGGTACAATTTAATCACTCTATTCTGTTCTTGATTTTTCTTTTTTTTTTCTTTTTTTGTTTTTTGTTGTTGTTCGCAGTTTCTCATTCGACCCATCACTCAGTTTCAGATCTTTCGCAGAATGGCAGCTCTAACCAGCTCAGTCGTGATTTCGAAAAGCCCTGCATTCCCACTATCTTATGGTAAACCTTACTGATAATAGGAAAAAGTAAAACAAACCTGCTGAAAAAGTTTTGCTTTGCCCACTTGATTAGCTTGTTTGTTCATCGATTACCGCTATTGTAATTATACTTTTCATTTTTTGTTTAGATTTTTAAGAAATTCAAATGTGTTTTCTTGGCCGTATCACTGACCCAAGCGTGCTTTTAGTGCCGGATGATTTTGCCCCCTTTTAATTTGAGCTTATTTTAGCTGCAGATTCCTGTTTCTTGTAAATTCGGTCCTTATGCTGAGAAGGAACCTATATATGAGAACCTTACGAGAGTTTGGTGTTGGGCTTTGCTAAAATTCATATGTTAACTCACTTTTTAAGATTTTGATGAACGCTATGTGTTTAGGTTTCTAATTGGGCTGACCCATGCTCATAGTGTAGTTAAAACTGCAGTGCCACTTATTAGGTATGTCGTCTCAATAGCTGCAGTTAAAGATAGTGAGAGTGAGCTAAGGCATATCGAAATCGATATCTCACTCACTGTTTTTGCACCGAATGTCTTTTTTCCTTCCCTAACTTGAGCTTATTTTAGCTGCAGTTTCGTGTTCCTTGTAAAAATCCGGTCCTTCTGCTAAAGAGGGACCTATATGTGAGAACCTTTAAGAGAGCGATGGGCTTTGCTCTAATTCATAGCTTACCTCACTTTATTCGCTGTTGGTGAACGCTTTCTGTTTAGGTTTCTATTTTGTGCTGACTCATGTGCTCATATTGTATTTATGGCACTTATTAGGCACGTCATCTCGATCACTGTAGTTAAAGATCGGTAGAGTGAATCTTCTTAATCACTTTTTCGTGCCGGATTTTTTTTGCCCCTAATTTGAGCTTATTTTAGCTGAAATTTCCTGTTTCCTATAAATTCAGTCCTCCTGCTAAGGAGGAACCTATATGTGGGAACCTTTACGAGAGTTTGGCGTTGAGATTTGCTCAATTTCATAGCTTAACTCAACTTTTTTAACTGTTGATGAATGCTTTTATTTAGGTTTCTATTGTGTGCTACTGCTGACCTATATGCTCATAGTGTAGTTAATGCCTGCAGTGGCACTTGTTAGGTATATCATGCTCATACGAGAATTTGGTGTTGGGCTTTGCTCAAATTCATAGCTTAACTGCTTAACTATCATTTTTTAGTTGTTGATGAGCTCTTTGTGCGTAGGTTTCTATTGTCTGCTGATCTATGCGCTCACAGTGTAGTTAAAACTGCAATTGCACTTATTAGGTACGTAATCTCAATCACTGTAGTTAACGATAGTGTGAGAATGAGCTAAGGCATACCGCAAAATGATATCTCTATATGGCCAAAAGAGAGTGGAGGGGCTGGAGATGTCTAAACTCAGAAACATAGTAAATATCATAATGCTGATGCTATGTTCAAGAGTTAATGAGTTAACAAGACATCTGATTTTAGATTTCGGACTCAGTCGGTTACATGAATGAAATGTGCTCTAATATATGGTTGCTTGAAATTGTGATGCAGTTGGTATTTGTAAGTAAATGTCAAAACATATTGGGGACAGTGCTTTTCGGAAATGGTGTTTGTCTGTTAACTGAATCCTCTCAACATAACGTTAGGTCCTATTATGAGCCACGTTTGGACTTGCCTTCTCTAAGTTTGCCTTATACTTGAGACAATTTGTCTTGTGTCTTCATCTTATTTTGCAGCATAGCTTTGCATCATTAGAAGATCATAACTCAAAAATTGTGTCACGAGCCACCAATAAAAACACCATTTTTTTTTTTTTGAAAAATACTAATAATTGAAAAATACTAATAATTGAATTTGACTTGACTTGAAATTGATTTTTTTATTTTTTATTTTGGATTTACTTATAAACAAGTATACACTTAATAAGTCGAGTCTTATGGCCGATTGGATATAGTTTCAATAGTAAAAAAAAATCAATCAAAACTCAAATTTGACTCAACTTTAACCTCGACTACACTATTTTCAATATTATCAATATAATTAAATAATATCAACCAATCATTCTTACACATCACATCAACTTTAATTCACTATTCATTCACTCACATAATTTTAACTAACTATCACTTCCAATCATTTTTCTCCTATTTTACATCAAATCAACTTTAATTATCATTTTTCTTCTACTTTACATCAAATCAACTTTAATTATCAACTTTAATTATCAACTTTAAATATCATTTTAATATATCCACTAACAACTAGACATACCATCTTTTTTTCAAAATTAATAATAGTTAAAAAACAAATCAAATAAAAACTAGTTGAACCCATAAACGATCACCTCTTAGCACTTCGCTGAACAACTATTTAAATTGGACAAAAACTGTGGATAAATGATTTGCAATGACATGAAATAAAATAGCACGACTTCGATTCCGAAACATGAGCATTGATAGAAAACACAATGAAAATCATAGGACAACATTTCTAAGCTAATCAGATTGTGTATTGCATTGAATTGCAGAAAAGGAAAACTTTCAACATCGTCTCTGTTACAATGCTAGTACACATTTATATAAACTGAAAAATAAAACTGATCATGAAAACCAACTAAGACTACCACTAACTCATAACCATCCTACTAACTTAAACTGCATGTGCATGTTGTACGTGGGCTACATATCATGTGCCCTTAGCATGCATGTGATCAACTCTAACAGGCTCCCTCAATCCGAACGAGCTAAGACTGAAAATTCCAAGAGAATGTCTTAGCTTAGAGAAGGATTGATGACTTAAGGGCTTAGTCAAGATATCAACTAGTTGGTCTGAAGATGGAACATGTTGCACAGCTAGGAAGCCTTTACTTATTTTGTCTCTGATGAAATGAACATCAAGCTCAATATGCTTAGTACGAGCATGTAAGATAGGATTTGAAGCAAGGGCATTAGCTCCCAAATTATTAACCCAAACAATTGGAGTTTGGTTGATGTGAATACCTATCTCATGTAAAAGTGAGTGAATCCAGCTGATTTCAGCACTTGCGTGAGCCAAACTCCTATACTCTGCTTCAGTACAGGATCTAGAAATGGCAGCTTGCTTCTAAGAAGACCAAATGATGAGATTACCTCCTAGAAAGATGCATGAACTAGTCACAGATTTCCTGTCATCAACATCACAAGCCCAATATGAGTCAGAGAAACCAGTCATCTTTAAATCCTTTGCTTCAACCAGATTTAAGCCATAATTGGAAGTTCCTCTTAAATGTCTCAATATTCTTTTAACAGCTCTCCAATGATCTTCATGAGGAGAAGCCATAAATTGGCTAACTTTATTTACAGCAAAGGCAATGTCTGGCCTTGTTATAGTTAAATATTGTAAGCCCCCTACAATACTCCTATAAGAAGTAGCATCATATAAGGATCCTTCTGATTGCTTGGATAATCTGGAAGATGATATCATAGGAGTCCCACAGCTTTTAACATTCTCCATTCCAGCTCTTTTCAAAAGATCATTGATGTACTTTTGCTTAGACAAAAGAAGTCCTGTAGGAGTTTGGTGAACTTCAATGCCAAGAAAATGATGTAGAACACCAAGATCTTTGATAGGAAAAGCTTTAGCCAAATTCTGAATGACTGAAGCTATAGTGGCATCATTATTCCCAGTAATAAGAATATCATCAACATAGATGAGTAAAAAGACTTGGGTATGTTGATCAGTTATGAAGAAAAGTGAAGGATCTGCAATGGAGTTTTTTAAACCAAGACTCTGAACCACTGTCTTAACTTTACTGAACCATGCTCGTGCTGCCTGTTTGAGACCATAGATAGCCTTATATAACTTACATACTAAGGGTCTATCATTCTAAGATTTAATTTCAAAGCCAGGTGGTTGTTTCATATAAACATTTTCATGTTAATCCCCATGTAAGAAGGCATTGCTTACATCAAGCTGTCTTACCTTCCAACCAAAATTCACAGTAATAGTGAGCATGATTCTGATAGTTGTAGGCTTAATTACTGGACTAAAAGTTTCTTTAAAGTCAAATGCAGCAGTCTGAGAATAACCTTGAGCAACAAGTCTGGCCTTGTATTTTGAAATTGAATTGTCTCGATTCCTCTTGAGTTTGTAGACCCACTTACTGCCAACAACATTATATCCTTGAGGCAAATGAACAAGACTCCATGTCTTGTTATTGATTAAAGCATCATACTCATCCTGCATAGCCTTTCTCCAATTTGTATCATTCAAAGCTTCTGTCAGGTTTCTTGGTTCTTTGAAGAGAAACTCAACTCTTGACAATTGAATTCTAAGGATTGCCTTTTCCATTGATGATGAGGTTAGGATATATAGTTACAAGACGGAGTAATCATCTCCGTGAAATCTGCCCTAATCTATATAATTACAGCAACAAATATTCCCATATACAGAAATAATATATTTACCATATATATACATAATACCCCCCCTCAAGGTGGAGCATGGGGATTCCGAATGCCCAACTTGCCAAGGAAGTAATCAAACTGGGGCTTTCCCAATGCTTTAGTGAAGATGTCGGCAAGCTGTACATGAGTGGACACATAACTAGGGAGAATGGTACCCTTAAGAACCTCATCGCGGACGAAGTGACAGTCAACCTCGATATGTTTTGTTCGCTCATGGAAAACGGGATTAGCTGCGATATGAAGAGCAGCCTGACTATCACAGAAGAGCCGAATTGGCTGAGGATGTGGTACTCCAAGAAAATGTAACAAACCCCGCAACCATTTAACTTCACAGACTGTTGATGCCATAGAACGATATTCTGCTTCGGCGGAAGAACGGGCAACCGTCTGCTGCTTCTTAGTCTTCCACGAGATAGGAGAGTGACCCAACTGGACAAACCAGCCTGTAAGAGAACGACGGGTCAACGGACAACTAGCCCAATCGGAGTCGCACCAACCAGTCAACTGGAGGTCGGAATCAGCCCGAAGAAAGATCCCCTGGCCAGGATTGCCCTTCAAGTATCGAACAATCCGAAGTGCAGCCTCCCAATGCGCTTGCATAGGCTTCTGCATGAATTGAGCGAGGGTATGAACAGAATAAGATAACTCGGGTCGTGTAACAGCAAGATAAATTAAGCGACCAACCAACCGACGATAGATCTCAGGATTGGTTAAAGGAGTATCAGTAACTAGCGGAAGGTGATGATTCTGCTCCATAGGAAAACCGGCGGGTTTGGAACCCAGAAAACCAACCTCAGAAATAATATCCAAGGCATACTTGCGTTGGCAGAGAAAGATGCCAGAGGGATTGCGTGCCACCTCAATGCCGAGAAAGTATTTAAGGGTGCCAAGATCCTTCATGTGAAAGCAGTTACTCAAATAGGTTTTGAAAGACTGAATGGCAGCCTGATCATTACCCGAAATGATGAGATCATCTACGTAGACCAACACAGTCAGCTGAACAGCTGCTTGACGAAGGACGAATAAAGAATAATCAGAAGATGATTGCTGAAAGCCATACTGGCGAAGAGCACTAGCCAACTTGGCAAACCAACACCGCGGAGCCTGGCGCAGGCCATATAGGGAACGACGAAGGCGACATACTGTCCCGGGAGAAGGAGAGGAAAAGCCAGGAGGAAGCCGCATATATACTTCCTCGGCTAAATCACCATGTAAAAAAGCATTGTGAACGTCCATCTGATGAAGTTCCCAGCCCTTCGCAGCAGCAACAGTAAGAAGTGTACGCACTGTGACCATCTTTGCCACGGGAGCAAAGGTCTCATTGTAGTCAAGTCCTTCGATCTGATTGTTGCCCAAAATGACGAGACGAGCCTTGTAGCGCTCGACTGTGCCATCCGAGCGGTACTTAATTTTGAACACCCACTTGCACCCAATGGCGCGTTTTCCAGGTGGAAGAGAATCAATAGTCCAAGTACCACTCTGTTCCAAGGCCTCAATTTCCCGTTGCATAGCAGCACGCCACCTTGCGTCTTTAACAGCCTCGTTAAAGGAGCGCGGTTCCACCCCTGCAGTAATACTCGCCAAAAATGCTCGATGGGACGATGAAAAAATATCACAGGAAACATAATTGTGTATGGGATAGGACGCACCTGAGGAAACCGATGAGGAGAGGGGAGCGAGAGAGGGGCCTGAAGAAGATACTGTGTGGGCGACGAAATCCTTCAAGCGAGTAGAACGCTCCTTAACCCGACGGCCACGGCCTAAAGGTTCCGGTGGAGTCGAAGAAGGAGAGCCCCCCCTATCGGAGGAGGTGTCCGGAGAGGCAGAGGTGGCCGGAGAGGCAGAGGTGGCCGGAGAGTCTGAGGTGGCCGGTATAGAAGATGTGGCAGGAGTAGACTCAACAATCTCCGTGAAATCATCATCATCAAGGATAGAAGGAGAGTCAACAATAGACGAACCAGACGGGAGAGGAGTCTTGGTAAAGTATGGAAACTCAAACTCGGAGAAACTAACATCACGAGAAACAAAAAATTCCCCAGACTCTAAGTCATAAACCTGCCAACCTTTTCGGCCAAAGGGATATCCCACAAATAAACACTTGCGACCTCGAGGAGAAAATTTATCACCTTTAGTATGTTGATTATGAGCATAACAGAGGCACCCGAAAACACGTAAGTGAGTTAAAGAGGGGGTTTTTCCATACAAAATTTCACACGGGGATTTTCCCTTTAAGACACTGGAAGGAGTGCGATTAATTAAGTAACCAGCAGCAAGTATGCAATGTCCCCAAAATTCTATTGGTAAGTTAGCTTGAAAACGTAAAGCTCTAGCCACATTGAGAATATGCCTATGCTTACGCTCTACCCGACCATTTTGTTGAGGAGTCCCGACACAAGAGGTTTCATGTAAAATACCAAGGTGATGAAAATAAGAGGATAGACACATGAATTCAGTCCCATTGTCACTACGGACACGCTTAACTGTCTTGTCATATTGGCGTTCAACCATAGAAATGAAATTTTTCAACTTTAAAGAAACTTCCGTCTTATCTAACAACAAGTATATCCAGGTAGCCCGAGAAAAATCATCAACAATGGTCAAAAAATAACGTGCACCAGAAAAAGAAGGAATCCGATAAGGACCCCATAAATCACAATGTACGAGTTGAAAAAGCTCATGAGAAACACTTGTACTAATAGGAAACGAGGTTCGAGACTGTTTGGCCCTGAAACAAACATCACAGGCCTTATTGACAAAACTACCATCTTTGGAATGTCCTACAGTAGGAATCAAGCCGAGAACCTTTGGAGAAGGATGGCCCAGACGTTGATGCCACAAATCGACTGAAGGTGCCTTAGTGGTAGTAATAGCTGCAGAAGTCTCCCAATCCCGAAAAAAATAAAGCCCCTCTCGTTGCTCACCCGCTCCAATCGGCATCCTCGAAGTGAGGTCCTGTATAACACAAAAATGTTTAGCAAAGTAAGCAACCGAGGCCGTATCCTTTAATAATTGAGAAACCGAGATCAAATTGCACAGTAACCCGGGCACATATAACACATTAATCAACGAAACTTTGGGGCTAAGTACTACGGTGCCCGCTTTAGTAGCGACAATACGTTGATCGTTGGGTAAGTGAACTAAAACACCCGGGATATCTTGAACAGTATCAAAATGACAAAGTGAACCTGTCATATGACGGGTAGCTCCAGAATCATACATCCAATTACCAAAGACACCCTTACCAGACAAAGAAGTAGAAGGGGCTGTAGGCGGTGGTGGAGCCGAATTGAAAAAATTGCGCAAGGTGGTCCACTGTTCGTGATTGATTCCCGGAAAGACTGAAGAATTACCGCCATCAACACCAGAAGTCGGAGAAGCCATCACGGTATTTGCAGCCGCGACATTTGGGACAACTCCACCAACACCGCCAGTGTGTCCACCGCCACCATGTGGAGATTTGGTATTCCCGCGACCCCGTCCACGCCTACCACCACGAGACCATCCTTCGGGAAACCCGTGGAGTTTGTAGCAAGTCTGAATGGTGTGATTGGCGCGGTTGCAGTGGGTGCAAAATTGACCTGATCCGAAAGCTGGTGTAGTTGGCGCGCCACCACGCCCGAAACTAGGGGAAACGGAGGAGGCAGCCAAGGCAAGTGCTCCGTCATTAGTGCTAGCAACACCAGGGCCAATCCCAGAAAATCCAATAGGAGTTTGAACAGCAAAACTCATCTCACCAACGGGATCTTTTGATTGAGTCATCAGACGGAGGCGTTCCTCTTGGACAATCGTAGAAAACGCCTTCTTCAACCTAGGAAACGGATCTTGGGAAATAAGGGAGGAGCGGACAGTGGCGTACAAAGCATCATCAAGGCCGAGTAAGAATTGATGCACTTTTTCTTCCTCCAGCCGTCGTTCAGAGGTCGTCGTGAGATTGCATGAACAGCCACCGCAAGAACAGGTGAGGGCAGCGTCATAAGAAGCGAGTTCTTCCCAGATCTTCTTGAGGCGACCGTAGTAAGCGATGACGCTCGAACCCTTTTGTCGACAATTGGCAAGATCCGACTTGAGTTGCTGGATTCGAGGACCATTAACGATGGAAAAACTTTCTTTTATTTCTATCCACTGATCGCGAGCCACCTCCATGTGAGTGAGTGTGGATCGAAGAGAAGGTTCAACGGTATTAAGAATCCATGACACGATGAGTGAGTTTATCGTCCACCAATCTTCTGAATCCGGTGAAGATTCAGACGGCTCAGGAATAGTACCGTCGACAAATCCGAACTTCTTTCGGGCACGCAAGGCAGTCTTCATGGCCTTAGCCCATTCTTCATAATTGCTCTCGCCCCGTAGTTGGACTTGAGTGATAATATTGCCAGGGTTATCACTGGCCGTAAGATCAAACGGCGAAATAGTCCGATGCCTGGGAACATCATCACCGCCGCTAGAAGTATTCCTCTGGGAGGACTCCGGGGTTTTGTCGCCAACAGATGAAGACATGATTGGCGATGGAAAAAAAAAAAAACACACAGGAGATAAAATAAAAATAAGAAAAACAGGGTCAAAGAAACAACCCTGTCTCTGATACCATGAAGAGAAACTCAACTCTTGACAATTGAATTCTAAGGATTGCCTTTTCCATTGATGATGAGGTTAGGATATATAGTTACAAGACGGAGTAATCATCTCCGTGAAATCTGCCCTAATCTATATAATTACAGCAACAAATATTCCCATATACAGAAATAATATATTTACCATATATATACATAATATTCTTGGTCCTTCAGAATACTACTGTATAATTTAGGCTTGAAAATACCTCTCTTTGGTAATCATAGGATGCATAGATAAATTATCATCAGTAGATCTATTCACATGGATATTATGTTCATAAGCATCATTTCTTAATATTGGCAGCTCATTTGGTGAAGGAATAGTGGTTTCTGGATTTTCTGAATATGTAGAAACATGTGTGTTATGAGTATGATGAGATGATGATGGAGGAGTATTTGAATGTTGAGAATGTATTTTTGAGGGAAAAGTGGAAGTCTTGTGATAGAGATGAGAGAAATCTATGACACAAGGTGCAACATTATGAAATTTATAAGATGTAGTGGTCTGAGAAGAAGATTCAAGTTTTTGCTTGAAAGGAAACTGTTGCTCATAAAAAATCACATCTCTTGTGATGATCACCTTCCCTGAGCTTAATAAAACCTTATAACCTTTATGACTAGGACTGTAGCCAATAAACACTCCTTTATCAGATTAAATTGTAACTTGTGTTTGTTTTAAGGTCTAATATAGGGGTAGCAAAGACAACCAAAGGTTTTAAGCATAAGAAGGTTAGCTTTATGACCACACAACATTTCAAGAGGACTTTTATAAGACAAACCTTTTGTAGGAACCCTATTGATAATATAACAAGCAGTTACAAAGGCATCATCCCAAAAAGATAAAGGTAAAGAAGACTCAGCAAGCAATGAAAGTCCCATCTCAACCACATGTCTATGTTTTGTTTCTGCTATCCCATTCTGCTGTGGAGTATAAGGACAAGAAAGTCTATGTTCAATCCCATGATCAAGGAAAAATTTGGTTAAGGATCTGAACTCACCACCCCAATCTGTGTGAACAACTTTAATGGATTTGTTCAACTGATTTCCAGCTAACTTCTTAAAATGAATGAAGGCCTGATAAGTATCATATTTGGCTTTAAGAAGATATAACCATGTAAACCTACTATAGTGATCAATAAAAGTCACATAATAGTAGTAGTCATTTCTAGATTTTATTGGTGAAGGCCCCCATAGATCAGAATGCACACGTTCTAAAGAATTTTCACACAAAGAATCTGAGAGATTATAAGGTAATCTATGAGCCTTTGCAAGAAGACAAGAAAAACATATTTCATTCATAGTCTTTTGATCAAAAGATATATTACAATCCTCAAGTGCTCTTACTACAACATAATAGGCTGAATGACCAAGCCTTTTATGCCAAAGATTAAGATCACACTTTTTAGAATGTAAAGCTACATTGACATTAGGACTAAATAGAAATTTGTTCTTTGAACTGTGATTGAAAGCTTCTTGTTTTCCTTTTTGGGTCGAAAGGTTGAACTGATAGAGACCTTCCTTAAGGATTCCCTTGAGCAGAACTTGATGAGTATGTTGATCCTTGACAAAACAAGAATCAGAATGAAACTCAAAATACACTTTATTATCATGTGCAAATTCAGAAACACTGAGTAAGTTTTTGGTAATAGATGGAACATGAAGAAGTTTATTAAGAATAAAGGTTTTGGAACAGAATGGTGATTTTAATTGAGCTTTGCCAATATGAGAAATATACTACCATTACCCATATGTAATCTATTACTTCCTTAATACTCAGAAACACTGGTGAGGTTGTTCAAGTCATTTGACACATGGTTTGTAGCTCCTGAGTCTGGGTACCAGAGAGTTTCCATGTTATTTTCAGGCTGAAAACTTGAGGATGAAGGAAACTGCGCCATGTGCAAGGTAGGATTTCTTGAAAAATTTCCTTGAAAACCAGTAGAGGTTGGTTGTTGACTGTGAGAGGGAGATCCACTTTGTTGTTGACTTTGAGGAGTGAAATTTGAGTCAAATCTATGCCAACATTTATCAGTTGTGTGTCCAGCTATCCAACACACTTGACATACAGGTTTTGGTCTTTGAAATGACCACCTCTTCTTCTATAACCACCTCTAAATCTTCCTCCTCTGCCTCTATTTGAATATTCTCTCCCTCTTGTAGATCCTTGATTGTTATTCAAATTTCCTCTTTGTTGATTATGAATCAGATTGAGGGATGGTTGAGATCCATCTGCATTGACATTTCCAGGTACAACATTGTTAATGATTCCATTTGCTTCTAACCTGGATTTATAACTCAATAACAATGCTTGAACATCCACCACAGTCCAAGTGTCCATTCTTGATGTCACTGTTATCATAACAGGATCATATTCACTCCCTAAGGCAGAAATAATATGGAGGATTTGATCTTTTTCAGACACCTTGGCTCCTACAGAAGCTAGCATATCAAAACAACTCTTCATTTTATTGAGAAAATCTCTCATGTTTAAACTGCCTTTCTTCATTGTATGCAGTTGAAGTTTATACTGCATTTGCTTTGCCAATGATTGACTTGTGAAGTTTGTTGATAATGCATCCCAGATCTCCTTTGAGGTTTGCAAATCAACCATTTGCACTAAGAGACTTTCAGAGAGAGATGAGAGAAACCATGATGCTAGAATTTGATCTTGCCTTTGATAAGAGATGTATTCTGGACTGAGGTTGAGAGACCCTTCTTCTTCAATGAACTTGTGTGGTTTTTGTCCTCCAATGATAAAATGCTCAAGACCATAACCTCTGATTGCAATGAGAGCTTGTTGTTTCCAGATTAGATAATTGCTCTCATCAAGTTTGGTAGTTAGAAGTTGTTTTGATGGTATATGACTTGCAATGGAGTAATAGAAGATGGGGTAGGTTGGGATGAATTTGTTACGACTTCTGACATGATGGATCAACTTTAATGACAAAAAGAAGAAAAGAAAGAAATATGAATCAGAAACAGAATCGACCTGCTCTGATACCATGATAGAAAACACAATGAAAATCATAGGCCAACATTTCTAAGCTAATCAGATTGTGTATTGCATTGAATTGCATAAAAGGAAAACTTTCAACATAGTCTCTGTTACAATGCTAGTACACATTTATATAAACTGAAAAATAAAACTGATCATGAAAACCAACTAAGACTACCACTAACTCATAACCAACCTACTAACTAAACTGCATATGCATGTTGTACGTGGGCTGCATATCATGTGCCCTTAGTGATCAACTCTAACAAGCATACATTGATAAAAAACAAAAAAATAAAAATAAAAATCCGGTGGATTTAAGCTGTGCCGTTTGGCATCCTCGAGCTCATCGACAAAAGTCACAAAACAGAACAAGAACACAAAAACAAAAGGTACAATTTAATCACTCTATTCTGTTCTTGATTTTTCTTTTTTTTTTCTTTTTTTGTTTTTTGTTGTTGTTCGCAGTTTCTCATTCGACCCATCACTCAGTTTCAGATCTTTCGCAGAATGGCAGCTCTAACCAGCTCAGTCGTGATTTCGAAAAGCCCTGCATTCCCACTATCTTATGGTAAACCTTACTGATAATAGGAAAAAGTAAAACAAACCTGCTGAAAAAGTTTTGCTTTGCCCACTTGATTAGCTTGTTTGTTCATCGATTACCGCTATTGTAATTATACTTTTCATTTTTTGTTTAGATTTTTAAGAAATTCAAATGTGTTTTCTTGGCCGTATCACTGACCCAAGCGTGCTTTTAGTGCCGGATGATTTTGCCCCCTTTTAATTTGAGCTTATTTTAGCTGCAGATTCCTGTTTCTTGTAAATTCGGTCCTTATGCTGAGAAGGAACCTATATATGAGAACCTTACGAGAGTTTGGTGTTGGGCTTTGCTAAAATTCATATGTTAACTCACTTTTTAAGATTTTGATGAACGCTATGTGTTTAGGTTTCTAATTGGGCTGACCCATGCTCAT